ACTGAATTGTAAAAATAAATAGATAAGGAGTATAAAATATCAATTTATGCATTAGGTAGTAAAAAATATATATCAAGACGAGAGACAGACAGCCTGGGAAATTTCCCATCTCACACCAGTCGAGCTCAGAGTCTCCCCCAGGGGTATAGCACTGGCTAGCTGCCCCTGTGGGCCAGGGGGGCCAGTTCAGGGGGGCCAGCCCCAGGGGTCAAAGACTACCAGTCCTCTTAGTTCCAAGACAGATAAGGCTGAGCTAGAGAATGATTTCCTTTCATATAAATCCCATCCTGGGCTCATCATGAGAACCATTTAACTTTTTTTTTTTAAAGATTTATTTTTATTTATTTATACAAGCACTGGGTACAGTCAGAAGCGCGGGAGGGTGAGAGAATTCACCAGAGCCAGAGCGGGGAGCAGAGCAGGCAGAAGGACCGAAGTACCCTGCTGAGGGGAGCAGCGGGCGGCAGGAGAGATCTGCGCGCCATGCGGGACCCTCCTCCAGTGGACGGGGAACAGCCGGGGATTGAACCAGCGCTGCAGAGGCCGCGGGCAGCTTCGCAACCCAGCGCTCAACTGCTGCGCCACCGGGGAGGCCCAAGAACCATTTAACTTTATGTCCTCATGTCAGTGGTGTCCAAACAGATTTATCCGGAAGGAAAAAAAAGCCCAAGTTGGTCAATTTCAGCATGCATGTGGACTCTGCTCTAAATCATCCCATTCCTGCAATTTACGATGACTTTTTTTAAAAAAAAGATTTATTAATTCATGCATACAAGAACCGGGGTACAGGCCAGATGTGCGGGAGGGTGAGAGGATTCACCAGAGCCAGAGCGGGGAGCAGAACAGGCAGACTGATGAAATACACTGCTGAGGGGAGCAGCGGGGAGACAGGAGAGGTCTGCCACGCCATGTGGGTATCTCCCGGGCCAGCGGGGATCAAACCAGCGCTACAAAGGCTGCGGATGGCTTCACAGCGCTGCGCTCAACCACCTGCACCACCAGGGAGGCCCAAAGTCAGTCAGAACAATAGACACAATAGACCATTTACAATGACTTTACAGTGACACCCAAAAGCCAGCTCAAAGTTTTGCCTCAAGACTTTACATATGTGGGTTTATATTTATGAGAGACCTATTTTCATAAACGCAGCCGTTTCGTGTCTCGTATAATAGACATATCTGTTTCGCTGGCTCGGGTGACAGCAGCGTCAGCTTTCGCTCTCCCCAAGTCACGTCTAAAGCCCGGCAGGACGGTAAGGTGGCACCACCACAGCTGAGCGCTGAGTGTGAGGAACCTGCCAGAGGAGTCGTCCACGTACAGGCGAGGAGAACCACGCAGCTCTCGTGGAGGGGGATCCCCCAAAGAGCCCATGATGTCACGGGGGAGCCTGGAAGGACAGAGGGAGAACGCAGTCGGGGACAGCTGCGGGAAGAGCAGAAGTCACTGCAGAAATGAACACAAGCCACTTCAGAGACACGGTGCGGGAAGGGGAGAAAATGTTCAATGTTTAAGAAAGAGAAATGATTGAAAGGAAAGTGTGAACCCTGACAATGGACCCATTCCACGGATTTGTTGAGTTCCAAAGAAGAAAACAAAAGGGCACAGAGAAAACAGTAAAAATGATATGAAAACTCTCCCGAAATTGGGAGACAACAATTCTGAAGCCACACACTGGAAAAGCAGCTGCGAACTGAGAACACTGACCCGTCACGACCGACACCAAGTCACACGCTGATGATCTAAGCAGAGACGGGGTTGGGGGGAACCCCTGGGTATCTGTGCAAAAGCGAGTAACTCTCAAGGGAGAGAAATTCAGATTGTCATTCAACTTGTCAGCGACAATCCCCCATAAAGGAAAACAAAATAACATCTACCAGGTAACCCAGAAAAACAAATGTGGACCAAAGATGTCACTGTCGCTAAGACACTGACCCGTGGCCGCCACTGACCCGCGGGTCGTGTGGCCACACCGTCTGCTGGGAACCACCCAGGATGACCAGCACCAAGTCGGGCACCCCTGTGAGACCCCAGAAAAGCACACCTGGAAGGCAGTTTGTTCACCTGGCGGTAGTGACGCTGGTGGTGGCGGCGCTGGTCATGTATGTGATCTGGGACAAAGGACATGAGTAATTCCAGGCTCCTCCGCTCCTGCCTCCCATGCCCTTGAGAACTGGTATTTCTGGTACGGGGCAAAGGCAACATGGGGGACAAAACAGGCTCAGGGGCCAGCCTGGAACCCAAAATGTCAGTGAGTCCCCTTCTTGAGCGCTCGGTCCACAGAGCAACGCGGACCAAGCTAAGCCACCAGCCACCCCAGAATCCGGCCCGGGTCCCGGCCTTGCTACCCTCCTGAACCTGCCTGGAGAAATGGCTGGTTCCCAGCAAGGTGTGGGGGTGCCGTCAATCCTACCGTTAGAAAAAGCAAAGAAGGCATGAAAGACTGGGGGCGCCCCCTGAGGACGCAGGACCCGCCCGAGGCTCGGGTGTGGATGGGGTGACGGCAAAGGACACGCGGCGGCGGCTGCTGCTGCGTCTTGGACTGATGGGAATGTTCTGAAATTAGATGGTGGTGACGTCGCGCTATAAATACACGGAAGGCACTGAGCCGTTCCCTCGCGATGACGGGCTTTACGGGCTATGAATTCTCTCTCGATAAAGCTGTTCAGAAGAGAGGAGAGGACTCACGAGAAGCTGGAGAGGCACACGACAGCCCGAATGGAAATGAGAAACGTGCAATTCATGAAGGCTTTTTTTACCCTGCGAGCGCACAGATCCACAGGTGAGAGAAAGCTGCGCAGCGCTGGCTGAGCACATACAGGTGGACACATTTAAAACCGGCTTCTCTGCAGGAATGCAGGCAGACAAGAGGCGAGCTGCCCTGTGAGAAGGCAGTGGACAAAGTCCGGCAGGGGGCGGGGGGTGCAGGTTAGAGAAACTGTTAGGGGGAAACAGGGGAGTGGCTGGGGCAGTTGCAGGGAAATCTGTAGATTGAGTCTTAGAGATTTCCTTTGAGTGGGCAAGTGCACAGGAGGGCAGTGCTGGGCTGGTAACTGTAGAAGAAACACAGGACGTGTCTCACAGCAGGGAGCAGCTCCTTCAGATCACAGGGTGATGGTTAGGAGGGATCCGGCGCGGGAGGGGGTTGGTGGGGCAGGCAGCCAACCACCCTGACTGAGGTGGAGGATTCCAGCGTGTCTGCTCTGGGGTGACTCCATAAGCTACACTTTTGCTTTGTGTGATTTTCTAGGTTTGTGTTTTATTTCCCAAAGGGTTGTTTATTTCCAAGAAAATGTGCAGCACCAGTGTAACCTATCGGAAACAGCACTTAAGACACTGCAGATTATACGAAACATTTAAACAACATGCAAGTAAACACATGACTGCAAACAATTTATAAAACAGTTCAACATTTAAAATCATCATGCAAAAGCCACAGCGTTGTTAAACCCCAGGTGGGCCTGAGCCTGAGGAAGGAGCAGGCCCGCTTCCCGGAGGCTCACAAGCATAGCGAGTATGGAGAGGCCTGCACCCAAGGGAGACTTCCCTCTGGACTTCATCAGGTCTAGAGAGACCCTGACAAGGGAGAACCTGTCCCAGGTGACTGGGGTCATTGCTCCTCAACAGTTACCTCCCGACTCCCCGGCCCTGCCCTGGAAACAGAGGTTGGAAGCAAGTCTGAGGCGAGCGGGCCAGTCAGCCCCACTAGGAGGGGGCTGAAAAACAAACGCTTGGCACTCTCCCAGGACACGGGCAGGTCCATTTTATTGCCCCTGGTGCTTTCTAAACATGCTTAAAAGGTTTGCTTTGCCATTAGGCATGCAATGACGAGGGGCCCAGCCTGGACCCATGGGAAGGTGCTCCTGGTGACCAGCTCGGCCTCACCCGGCAGCCGATGGCCTCCAGAACCTGGTGACAATCTCGGCCGCCTCCACCCTGATGTGGTGGGGGCTCCAAGGACAGTGGACCTGCCGCCCAAGGCGCAAGTGCAAAAGTAAGGGCCCAGGTCCCCCTCCTCTGGCCTCCGGATCTGCAAACAAGGCCACATCCTGACGTGCCAGTTTATCAGCACCAGGCCAACCTGACCGCCAAGCCCTTACAAAAAATTCCTATCAGGTTACATGCCGGACACGCCGGGTCAGCCCATGAGGACAAGGACAGCTGAAGCCCAAGCGCAGAAGCCCAAGCGCAGCCCAGTCACGGATCCACGTCGGCTCACAGCACACACGGGGGCACGGCGCCCGCAGGTGCCGAGAACAAGGCCACTCTGTTTCCTCAGATTTTGCTATGGCGGTTAGATGAGAGAGGAAATGGGAGGTGGAGGAGTTTTTCTGACCCTGCTCCCAGCAGGAGCTGAGGCAACTTGGAAGAGGGGGCTCTGCCTTCACATCCCCCCAGGCGCTGACCCGGTTCCTCTGCTCCACCGCCCCCCGCCTCTCCTGCCTCCCTGGCCTCTTTGTTCAACCCCTCGCTTCCCAACCTCCCACACTCCCCCACCCCCACCCGTCTTCCGTATTCGGCCTCCTCCTGAGACCCTTACAAACACTCAGACACAAACCAGCCTGCCGGAGTGCCTGGCTCCTGCAGCCCTGTCCTCGGCCTCCTGAAACCTCTGGGCCACCTCGCGCTCCTCTCCGAGGGAGGGCCCGGAGCTGGGGAGGCCTGGCCCAGGTCCCAGGAAGGTGAGAGCCGTGGGCTCCTGGCAGGATGGTGTGAACCCGCGTGCTCCAGTAGGACGCTCATTCCACACCAGCCCGAGGAGACAAAGACTCACAACAGGCGTGAACACACCCACCTCTGACCCTCCCTCCGGGAGCAGCTAGAAGTCAACGAATCCCAGCAGTGGTGAGGCTCAGCTGAGCTCTTCTTGGTGACAAGGGTGTCACTCGCCACAGACAGAGGCTCGAGTAAGACCAGACATGGGACCCTGGTCGTTCGGATTTTTCACCCAAGCCCTTTCCACGAAGCGGGGGAGATCCGAGCGCCGTTCCCACACTACTTACTGCCTGCTGGATGCCGGTCTTCACCTGCTCGCTCAGCATGCCTTCAAAGACAAAGGAGTCACCGAACTTCTCAGCCTGGAAGGAAGGAAGGAGACAGAAACTGAAGGCCAGAGCAAAGCCCTGCAGTGCGGGATGAGGAACCTGCAGGTCGAGAGCACCTGAGACACACAGACCTTCACCCAGAGGCCTCCGTCTCCCACCAGGACAAACATCCTCTCTCAGGGCCTTCTCTGACATGGGCTGAACTCACGATAAAGCCAAGAGAGGGCCTGGGAGAGCTGGTGGGTGGTCAGACATCGAAATAAAACTGCAAAACCACTTGTGAAATGCACAGGCTCCTGCCTCACTCAAGGGGCGGCTGTCCGAGGGAAAAGGCCCCCGTGTTCGGCATCTCAGAGCGGCGTGGCCCAGTGTGCTCGGGCGCCACCCGGGCTGACAGTGAAGAGCAGGGTCCTGGGGTCATGGCAGCCAGGCCAGACTTCAAGGCGAACCTGTTTGTTGACCCTCAGGGGTTCCCAGGAAAGTGCCTGCCTCCTGGGGTGCTATGAGGAGCGGGGGAGCTGAAAAGCAGAGGAAGAGCTGAGCACAGCCACCACCCCAGAGACATGAGCTTGCTGCCCTCCCGCCATCACCTCTGTCAGGTAGCCAGTCGCGTTGACAAACTTCTCGAAGTCGGCGTTGCTGACTTCATAGGCGTCCATGTAGAAGGCGTCCACGGCCACTCTCCGCGCGGGCGCCTCCCCGTCCTGCCTGATCTGGGGCTCGTCCGTGCCCATGGTGAACACGCCGGCAGGGATGGGCACCATCTGCAGGAGAAGACTTGGGACGTGGTGCGGCGCCCCACACAGGAAGCACCAAGGGAGTCTGAAACCACGGCCCGCCAGCCACCCCACTCCCTGCCCCGACACAGTGAGCGACCAGCCACAAAGCAGCGAGGCCCAGTGGGAAGTCGGTTCTCCCGCCAATGTCTACACAACACGAACAAGTGTGTTGTGGAATTGGGCCCAGCAAGTCGCCAAGCTGTGGAGGGCGGAGGACAGGCCAGAAGAGCCCACCGTCCTCTGCACACATGGACGTTTTTCCTTCCGTGCATTCTCGTTTCTCTAGAAGTATGTTTAAAAGGAAATAGAAAACGCTTTTCTATCCTTTAAAGTCCCCGAATGCACCTGGGTCTCCAACAACAACGGTGAGATCGAAATGACTGAAGTAGGAAACCTAAAATGCTGAGGGGCCATGTCTTGTCCTTATTATGTCTTTGTCCTTAATTAATTCCCTATTAAAACTCGTCATTGCAATTGCTTTGGTCGGTCCTACCTACCGTCTCACAAAACCTCTAACCTCCAAGAGAGCTGCCACTGCAGTGACCCTGCTCCAGGCCCAGCCCTAAAGAGAGAGTTTGAGGGCCTCCCTGCTGGCTCAGCGGTGGAGCACTGGGTTGCGAGGCTGCCTGCAGCCTCTGCAGCACCAGTTCAATCCCCAGCTGCTCCCCGGCCACTGGAGGAGGGTCCCACATGGCGCGCAGACCTCTCCTGCCGCCCGCTGCTCCCCTCAGCAGTGTACTTCGGTCCTTCTGCCTGCTCTGCTCCCCACTCTGGCTCTGGTGAATCCTCTCACCCTCCCGCGCTTCTGACTGTACCCAGTGCTTGTATAAACAAACAAACAAACAAACAAATCTTAAAAAAAAAAAAAGAGAGAGAGAGTTTGAGGGTGACACTGACATTTTTCAGTGAATAATCACAGGTCCATGTTCAACAGCAATGAGTTACTAGGTTATTGCGAATCAAAACTCAGATTCCACTTCACACCCACATGAAGGCAAGACAACGGAACAAAGACAGACCTTCCAACAAATGGTTCTAGAATAGGATGTACACATGCAAAAAAAAAAATTATATGGACACAGATCTCACTGCCTTCACAACATTTTACTCAAAATGAATCACAGACCGAAATGCAAAACACAAAACTCCAAAGCTCCTATAAGGTAACACAGGAGAAAACCTAGATGACCTTGCATGTGGCACCAGAAACACCACCTATGGAAAAAACAATCGCTAATCATTGAAATGAAAAATTTTCGCTCTGCAAAAGACAAGGTCCTGAGATTTAGAAGACAAACCACAGGCTGGGACAGGATATTTACAGAAAATACATCTGATAAAGGACGGCTATCCAAAACAAATGACTCCTAAAACTTAACCAGGAAACAATTCCATTTTAAAAGTGGGCCAGAGACAATTTGCCAAAGGGGATACAATTCACCAAAAGGGATCCACAGGCAGCAAATAAGAACATGAAAATTTGCACCACGTCAGATGCAATGCAAAAAATGCAAATTTTAATGAAATGCTACCACAAATCTATCAGAATGGCCAAAATCTGCAACACTGACCATGGCAAATGCTGCAGCAGGTGTGAAGTAACAGGGCTCTCACTCACTGTTGGTAGGGGTACAACAGGGGACAGTCATGTTGGGAGATAGTTTGGGTTTCTTGCAAAACTAAGCATACTCTTGTCATTTGATTCAGCAATCACACCCCTTGGTATTTACTCAAAGGGATCAGAAATTCATGTCCATACAAAAACCTGCAAACTGATGTTTATAGCAGCTTTCATCAAATTTCATCTAGACTGCAGACTATCACTTAGTGTTGGCAAAGAAGAGCTATCAAGCTAGGAGAAGACATGGAGGAAAGTTTTGTGCATATTAAGTGAAACAAATCCATCTGAAAAGGCTACATAATGCATGATTCCAGCTATACACCCTGCAGAAAAGGCAAAACAAATAATAAAAAGATCAGCGGCTGCCAAGAATGAGAAGGGGTTAGGATACGCAGTTTAAGTCAACAAAGACACTCTGTAGGATGTTACGGTGAGAATTAAATGTCACTATACATTTGCCCAACCCCACAGAATGCACAACATCAAGGCTGAACCCTAATATACACTATGGATTTTGGGTAATTATGACATGTAGGTTCATCCTTTGTAACAAATGTAACATGTGGTGGTGGGTGTTGGTAATGGGGGAAGCTTTGAGTGTGAGACCTGGAAAATCTCAACATAAAACTACTCTTTAAAGTCTTTAGCATAAAAAAGAAAGAAAGAAAACACTAAGATAATTTAACTCTTCTATAATATTGGACTTCCTAAGTTTAGAACAAAAGCCTAAATGTCAGAAATAGACCAGTAATCTGCACATGAACTAAAACATTTAAACCAAGAAAAACTAATATAGAATTGTCTCCACTGAAGCCTTTTCCCTGCATAACAAGGTTACTTCAGGCTTAATGATTAAGCTCTTAAGTCCTTAAAGGCTTGTGGGCTGTGATGTCAGCAGCCACTAGTTTATTAATAGCTTGGGATGTTCCCAAACATTACAGAAAGTGAATATAAAAACTGGCCAAAGATGACTCACACAAGACCCAGTCTGGACACAAAACCACTCTAAAGGGATGGAAAATTATGTATCTTGAAAATGTAATTCAAAAGGTACTGGTACCCACATCCCATTCTAGAACCAACTGGAAGATTTAAAATGAGATAATCAAGATTAGCCAGAAAGTTGTAGGCAAAATTTTGGGACAGAACAACACGTACATGCAAATAAGATAGCTGTCTTATTACTTACAAAGCAGATAAAGAGACACAGGGCTTTCTCTTCAGAAGGAAAGAGAAACTATCAGCTACCACCCAAATTTAAAAAGAATGAAAATCAAGTATGGTGCATGTGCGCATACACACACACACGCACATACACACACCAGTAACTGGGGTTTCCCCACCACACAAAAGACAAACATGAATAATGCAGAACATTCTCGGAGGAATAACAGAAAAAAACTTAAAAGCAAATAATTAAGCAGGACGGAGACAACAATGAGAAGTCCAGCTATGCAGCTACTAACACTCTATACCTGAGATACAAAATGATGGCCCCTCACAGCCTAGTTGAGGAGAGACACCAACCAGCAAAGAAACATCTCTAATAATTGCTGTGTCACATGAAGCCCTACTAGTGTGGGAGTATATGGAAATACTGAACAGGAAGGAAAGGAAGGAGGTCCGGTAGAGCCTGCTCCGGGTTGTCACCTCTCACCTAGGTTCTGAAAATTGGTCCAAGTTAATCCAGAAGAGAAATGGGATAGAAACGGAAGGGGGGTGCCTGGTATAAAAGAAGCATTAGTGGGCCTTCTTGATGGTGCAAGGGGTTAAGACACAACCTATGAAGCTATCCACAGCCTCTGCAGCACGAGTTCCGATCCCCAACGAGGGAGCTACCCACATGATGCAGCAGACCTCTCCTGTCTCCCTGCTGCTCCCCTCAGCAGTGTATTTCAGTCAAATCCGCCTGTTCTGTTCTCCACTCTGTCTCTGGTGAATCCTCTCACCCCCCCCCCACACACACCTCTGGCCTGTACCCCAGTTCTTGTATGCGTAATAAAAAATAAACCTTTTTAAAAAATAAAA